ACTTCGGATCAATAAATTGGTTGAACATCTCTTTTGAGAATGGTGTTAAAAACTCATTAACGTTGACTGTGGCTCTTCAAGTTGAATGATTGTTTTTTTCAAGTTAAACAAAGAATAGATAAATGAGAGCTGGACGGTGAACTCAGCGCTTACCAGTGTATTCACACAGGTGACAGAAATAGATGCCATCAGTGTTTGGTTGAATAGAATCGGTGAAAATTTCCATCTGACCGGAGTTCAGCCGCTCCTCCGATTCATCAAGTGCAAGTGTGGGATTTTGTACGCCTTAACGGGGGGGAAGGAGGGGACAAATTCGGCAGTCATACAAGGTTAATGAATTCCCTGTGCATTTAAATCATGTGAAATTCACTAAATTTTTCCCCATGTTGTCGGTGAGATCAATAATTTTTTTACTTATTATCACCTATAACAACCATTCAACCACTGGTTCTTAAAAAATAAATACGAATAAGCTGACGCTATTCAGAGGTATGCTAAATGTTTTAAAGAGACCGACAAACTTTAATTCGTGCATGTTTGCTATTGAGTATCACCACAAATGTCAAGACCACGCACAGATACTGGATTTGCTGATCTCGGAGGAAACAGAAGGCCAGGAATGAGAGGAAGGACTGACAGGAGAGGCCTTCTTTGCATCCACCATGGAAGGCGGTGTGCCGCTTGAGGATTCCATGACGGTCTGCACGTCCATTGCCAGTTCCAGCGGAGGTCGATGTCCCCCCATTGGACCCTTGGCAATCTCAGTTCTCTCTGCGCAGACCGTTAAAGCGCCGCCATCCAGCACATCCTCGCAATTCTTTATTCCACAGCTTCCCAGCATTGTGTGGATGATCTGAAAGAAACTACGGATGATAGATGGTAATTTTAGAGGAATAGATACATTTTTAGAGCAGACTACAATACTGCAATGTTATCATGATGTTACCATTGCTCTGATAACCATTTGCAAGTGCAACTTTCTCCTTTGTCGATTAGTGATGAATAACTTTGCTTACCGTCGACTACTTTTCAGCGAGGTCAATTTGTCTGGTTTCTTACATACAAACTGGAGCACACAAAACATATTTTTAACTTCAGGCAAAATTTGTTGAAAAATGTGCATGTCCGAATCACCGTGAGGCACACAAACACCAGCAACTTTTTATAGACTGATCACTGCGATACAGATCATGGAGCATCAAGGAATAGTTGTAACCAAAGTTTTATCTATTTCGTCCCATAAAACATCGAACATTTTACGAGTGCAGGAATTTGTCTGACTAACACAGCAATACAAAACCTAACTTAAACTAAAGAACTTCCAGTGTTTAATGATACTGATTGATATGTTGCTCAATTCACTGGTGAATTAATCTTCAGCAGGACTTGCACTAAGCCAATAATTTTGCACCGATAAAGGCACGCATTTTTAGACACCGAGTTCACATTTTCTTTTCGTGTTTGCTCCTGTTCAAATACAAATGAATAGTTGCGTGTGTGTGCGTGCGAGCTCAAAACAATGAAATAGCTGGCACTTTGTATATGAATTTTTTTATTTGATTTGTCTCTGAGCCATCTTAAATAAGATTCATCTATTGCTGAGGTCATAAAAAACAAGTAATGAACAAACCAAAGAGGGACGAACTGGATGTCGCATTGTGTTTAGCAGTCAAAGTGATATCTACTTCCAGACATTCAGTATCCACATAATGTATCCACAAGAAAGGCTTTGTAAACATTACTACAAAATTCACAGACTGACAACAGTTTTGGAGGCAACGGCCATCTGATAGGAGTCTTGATATTAATAAGAGTGACCAAAGCTGATAAATGATATCTGTCGTCCCAATTCCATCATCCACAAAAGCTAAAAATGTCATAGGAATTCACTTCAGGGAGGGAAACGATTATTTTTGATTGTGCTAAACTTCTCTTCCACTACAAGCTCCAAGACTCTGAACTTACGTATGGGGCAATTGAATAAAGGTTGGTTGCAAAACATTCAGTCATGTTAACTCTGTGGAATCACCACTATTACTTAGGCATCTGGCAGACTGATCTCTTCACAACGATTATGTAGAGTAGTAGAGCAAATTAAAAAAGTTAATGCTAAGTTCAGTACAAGTATTGGAGCAAAATGCAATTACATTCATTTGTTATTCTATCGGAAGTGGACCAGCAGATGGTCATTAAGTTTATTAAAAATATTCTTCAAAACAGATAAGACTAATGCAACTGTTGTGTTATGTAGACCTACAAATTTGTTAAACCCAAAAGTGTAACTTACTTTTGGTTGGGTAAGTGAGCGTTCTCCATTTCACCACTTTTGGTTGTCGCAGGGATGGTTTGGGTCAGTGTGGGAAAAATGAGTGGAGGAAACTGCATGGTAGGTGCTTGAGACCGATGTGGAAGACTCATGGGACTTGAATGCCCATTCGATGGTATCAGTCCGAAAGAATCCGGTGCGAACATGTTATTGGACTAATCTGCAAGCCCAAAATAAGTCATTTTCCATCGATAGATATAGCCATTATTTTCAATGACCACTGCATTAAATGAAGAACAAAGTATTCATAACCTGAAAATCAAATTCAAGGATCATGAAGCAGTATAAAAGCTTGGAAACGGCGTTCATAATTCATTCTCTTTTCACGAGTCAACGTTGCAGATCTGCAATTGTATAAATTTGCGCCAATTGGCATATCATCATCCAGTAGGAACATTTTACCATATCATCGCCTTCGATAGCATTTGCATTCCATGTGCAAAGAAAGAAAAGGTTGGAGACTGTCTGTAATCCTACCTCTTGCATTAAATTATGACAGTGAGAAAATAATCTCGTTGACCTCACCAAGTTTTTTTCACTGGATATTGCAACACCGGTTAACTGTGCACAATGCTCAACCTAAGGAGTCATTTTGAAGATGTAGCAGTTTATGAATATTATTCAAGTTCAGTTGTTAGAGTTTCTGCGGATTTCAGTTCTTAGAAGGCAACATTGCTTACCCACTATATGCAAACCGAAAGGTAGCTTAAACGGTTTGCAGATAAAGCAGAGCAAATTGCATAAAATACAAGGAAAGCGAATTTAAATAATTCACATTCGATGACAGCTTGAACTGCACAAGTGCCTTCCCTAATATTGGTACTTCCTCCATAGAGTTCAATTAAAGTAAACCCACAGTCTTGTCTTTTGGTCTTAAATTACAGAATCTGTAACTGTTCAAGGGTGCTTGAATCAAGGGCAACATATAACCAGATACAGTTACTTTATTTTGTAACTCGCTCACTTTTGGCAGTGGTATACACGTACCTCAAATATGATCGCCCAAACGAATTCGCTGGTAAAAGGGAGAACAGTAAGTCCAGTCGAAAACACAAATTGATATCTACTTATACCTTATGTATTTGTACCCATGTGCCGACTTCCGCCCATGAAAAGCAACTGCATTTCCTAATGGGATGGGCAAGGCAAGGGAAAGGGAGGAGAAGGGGGAAAGGAAAAGAGGGAGGGCGAGATGCAATTTG